CCTTTCTTCTGCCTGATGCCCTGCTTCACTTTCCCATTGGGTTTATTGTCTACAAATCTAGCTTGCCAGACCTGGGCTTGAGTAAAATAGGATTCAATGTCAACTGAGAACACTTGTCTCCACCTCCTTCGTTGGTGTTGGAGATCAAAGCAAGGTTTCTAAACAGGTTCCCCTCCAACTACAGTACTTCATTTTCAGGAGAGGACCTTTCTTTCTTTTTTAATACTGGGATTTGAACTCACTACCTAATGCTTGCCAGGCAGGCTCTGTACTGCTGAGCTGTATCCCTGGCGCTTCTGGAGAGCTGGTAACTGGAGTTGATAAGGTTATGGAAAACATCGGTTGTGGACTAACATATTCTTTTTTTTTTTTTTTTTTTTTTTTTTTTTTTTTTTTGGCTTTTTCGTTTTTATCGGTACTGGGGATCGAACTCACGACTGCCTGCTTGCAAGGCAGGCGCTTATGCCGTTGAGCTAAATCCCCAGCCCCAACTAATATATTCTTATAAATAAAAGATTTAAAGGCTATTTACAGTAGACCTTCAGCAGTTGATCACTTCTGTGTAAGTTTCAGCTCCAGGGTGGGGGTGGGTAGCTCAGTAGTAGAGCACTTGCTTGGCCAATGTGAGGTTCTGGGTTCTAATTCCAGCATTGCCAAAACAGAATGACAAAGTTCCATCCCTGGAACCTGTCCTTCTAAAGGCAGCTTCCCTTGTCTTCAAACATTGCTACAACACAAAGAATTGAGGTAGTGACCTGAATGGACAGTTTTCATCACCAACAGTGTCAAGAGACCCTGGGAGATGGGTGCGAAGCAGGAGGGGAAAGAGCACATTGTGGGGTGGGGTGTACCTTAGCGCCTGCACTTCCTGGCATGTGGAGGTGTTGGGTTTGATCTCAGCTGGGGGGAGGCGACTTTATTTTGAAAAGTATCATTAGTCCCTAGATAGGCTGCATCACTGTCACTATGGCAACATATGCAAACACAGACCACACAGGTGTATGCAGACACACACAGAGATGGGCTGATTCAGCCTCAGACACAAATCACACGCGTGCGCGCACACACACAGATTCTAATTAGGATTGACTGACAATAAGGCTATATAGAAAGGCCCTTTACTAACTTGAATTGCCCTCGAAAGATCAATCCTTAAATTTCATTCCAATGTAAATGCATTAGCCCAGTTTACTGAAGGAGAGGGCCTCTGAGCAACAGCACTGCCCTGAGGAGGCCACGGCTAATCTGGGAAACTGAAGCATCCCTTGTCCTTCAAAAGGAGTTATGTGGGGAATCTAAATAACTCCTACTCACTGGGGCACCCACAATTTAATCTCTAGCACCGTCAGGGGCAACAGGTGATTGGCTGTACAAATTGCTAACGCTTTAACCTGGCAATCGCGGTAGAAAGATCCAGCCGCGGCATAGGGCAGGAGGCTGATGAGTGTTACTAAGTGTGCTCAGCCCTTAGTCCCGGAGGGAGGGATAAAAGCGAGTTATACACGTCAGCTCATTAAAAGCAGTAAGCAGGACCCGAAATCGCCACCACTTCTCAGATGTTGTATGCATGGGTTTAGCAAGGATGAGAACTTTTTGAGTAACTGATAGCAAACCTAGAAGATGGAATATATCGTTAAGGAAAAGGAAGTTTTGTTTCCCCCGTACGGTTCTTGTTTCTTTAAACTGGAATTGAACTCAGGACCTTGTGCTTGTCAGGCAGTGCTGTGCAGCTGAGCTACATCCCTGGGCCTCCCCGGTACGGTTTTTGACGCTGCGTGATCTGAACCTCTGCTTCTCCCAGGAGAGCTGGGACAGACGGTCTTGGGGAAAGTCACGAGGAGCCCCGGAGCTCAGGCCCGGGCATAGCAGCGTGCTCTCCCAGATGCTAGACTCCCAGGGTTCTCACTGCCGGCGGCTTCCCGAGAGAGTGTGTCCGTGAGGAGCCCTCCCGGAATCTCCAGGGCTCTGCGGCTCGGACGAAGACAGACGACTTAGCGCAGCAGGGGCGCGCTGGATTGCGGCTGGGCTCAGGTCAGTACCGAGCGGGCTCACAGCGCTGGATGCTGCTCTGCGAGCCTGCGGCACCTGGGGCTGAGGATGCCCTGCGGGGCCAAGGAATGCAGCGGTCGCCAGGCGCAAAGACAAAGCCGGGCGGTTGGCGGGATCCGGGCGCTCAGGAGCCTTGCTCCTCCTGTGCGCCGAAGGCTGCTTTCCCGGAGAACTTTCCAGGCGGCCGCTGTCTATCCGTTACAGGAAAGGAGCACGCAAAGTCGGCCGAGCGGAGGAGGCAGGTCCCGGGAAGATCATTCTGGACTTGCGGAGGCCCTGCTGGTATTGCTCGGCTACAAGGAGATCCTTCGGGTGTCCTTGCTCAGGGTCCCCCCAGCTCACAGTGCGCTTTCCCTGGCCCGAGGGCCTTTCAGACTTTCGGGCACACAACTAGAGCTCCATGAGGCCGCCCTGCAGGTCCGGCGAGGCGAGGGCGTCGCATAGAATCCTTTCCCACAGGGGCGCTCCGGGCTGGCACCCTGTCCCCCTTTGCCCTCTTTGAGGGACCCTAGAAGGTCAACCTCTACGGGTAACTCCAGCGCCTCTCCTCGGCCAGGCCCTCTGGGTGTCCTGGAGCCAGGCTTGTCCGCCGCTCTTCACCCTCCTTCGGACCCCATTTCGAGGACGTGGTGACGCAGCCGAGGAATCTAGACACGGCTGGCCCTGGGTGAAGAGGGTGGCATCCAAGCGCAGGGCAGCGAGACAGAGGTCCAGCTCCAGGGCGGCAGGGCTCGTGCAGAACTCCCTGCGAAAAGCTCGGTGATCTCTAGGCCACCGCCTGGGTGATCAGAAGCATCATGCCTGGCACAACCATCATCCGCGCCCACCGCTGCCTAAAAACGGCGCCCTGTGGCCAGCGCCTCTTCCTGGTCTCCGCGCACCCTCGATCCACCCGCTTCTAAGAAGGTGCAGCTTTGCCAGCTCGCAGTGGAGAGCAGGACTAGGCCTGGGAGAGGACGGAAAGGTGCTTTGTATTTGGAGCCCAAGCACTTCAAGGTCACAGTAAGAAAGGGAGGGAGCTTGTCTACAGGAAAGACATAAAACCAAGTACTCAACATAATCAGCGAATATATGACGAATAATCGGATCGACAGAGGTGTTCCTGGGCGGTGGAAGATTACAAGGTTCTCTGAGGCGAAGATCCAATTGCTTCCCAATGCATGGTCAAAAAAACGACAGCCAGTAATTGTGGAGAGATGTTTTCTAAGCACAGAATTAAGTGCATTTGTATTCCTTGATTTAAGGCTCTCAGCTATTTCATGAGTAATACAAAATTTGCCTCCAGTTTGTCTAGGAGGAAACCAAGGCAAAGAGTTTGAATAGTTTTATCGGCATGATGGGCCAGCACTGGAGGGAGCCAGGGCTGCAACGCAGAACTACAGCACTCCCCGGGCTGCAGTTTGGGGATAGGTTTTCAGAAACGGCAGGATCTCACAGGTGAGAAACCATCCGTTTCTGATTCAGGGGCTTTATTTTTCTGGAAGTGCATTCTGACTCAATTTTTTCACTGCAAGAAACAAAGCAAAGCAAAACAAAAAATGCCCTGTGTCTCTGTATAAGAAAATAAAAACAGCAACGACACGAGAGTAAGCCCGAGGCCTGCAAGACAGAGCGCAAAGGAGGGGGCGACCCACTCGGCAGAGCTAAACCGCCCTCTAAAGAGGGGCGACAGGGAGCAGGGGTCCATGGGACGAAAGCCCACTGAAACGCAGGGCATTTGTGCACCTAACACAAGAAGTCCTGGCCTTTGGTCTCTGGCGATTTATCCAAAGAAACTCCTTGGGTCTCTGGCCATTGTCCTGTCCAGCAGGGCGATTCCCAGATGGTCAAACCCAACGGGTGCTCTCAGCTCTGGCCCCATTCAGTGTCAGCCACAGGCAAACTCCCCATGACAGGTATATTGCCTGTGGAGGCCAGAATGGACCCTTAATAAAACAAAACAAAGGAAAATCCATCATCCATATGCTACTCTAACTCAAAACCCAAGTATAATGTTTCTGACTTCCTTACTTTTCCCAGATGAATACAGAGGAAAAACAAACCCTAATTTAAAAAATTCAGCTAGAATCCTCACATTTAAAACAGATGGAGTGAAACAGAGAAACAGGATAGGTTTTCAGATCTTCTCTTGTTAGCTGCATTTATTAAGCATTTTCCATAAACAGCTTAAAGCCTCAAAGATTGAAAGGAGGAACTGACCTGGAAACTACATACCTATTCATAAAGAACTGTTAGGTAATTTTAAAAAATTTGGTACTAGAGATTCAATCCAGGGCTATGCACAGGACAGCTAAGTGCCCAAGCTCTGAGCACTATCCCCAGACTTTTTATTTTATTTTGAGACAGGGTCTTGCTAAAATTTCCAGGCTGGCCTGGGATTCCCACAGCCTCCCAAATAGCTGGAATTACAAGCTTGCCCTCGTGTTCACTTATGTTAGGTAATTTAAAAACTTTAAAAGAACCAGTTGTTAACTCTCGCTGTCATAATCACACGCTGTCATAATTCTAAGGATGGGGAAATCATACTAACCATAAATAGCTATTTGTTTGCAGGGTGGCCCGGTTTACCTAGCTCAGTCTTCAGCCTGTTTTTCCCTAGCTGAGGCCAGGACCTAAATCCATATGCTGAAGCAAAAGCTCCACGGATCTTTGTTTTAGACTGGTTGTTCAAATCAGGGCCCGTTTTTCACCTTCATCCCTTTAGGTCACCTCTCTGGTCTCTTGAGGACTAAACACACACACACACACACACACACACACACACACACACACACACACACGGACTCTTCTACTGCCCTTCCTCCAGGCCCTAGCCTAGGCAGATTTAACAGGGTTTTCTTCAGAGGAAAGCAGTCCTGGTTGAGGATGTTTGCTAATGACTACTCCACTAAGGGGTTAAGGAAGAGGAGAGATGGGGAAAGAGGACTTTGAAAAGTACCGATTTCACTGGATCTTTGAAGCCATAAATGCTTTCTTTTAATTATTGATAAGGGTAAATAAGTGTTCAGCTTCTGGGCTGAAGCACTCCGGCCGGCGGGCTGTCATAAGGGGTGCTGGGGTGCTGCAATTCATACACTTCCCGCGTTGGGTAAATGAGTCTCCTTATGGAGGGCTGGAGGCCCGGAGGGGCTCAGGCTGCACCCCAGGAAGAGAACCCCAGATGCCAGAAATCAACGCCTCTTCTTCTGGGAGGTCTGCCAGCATCTCTTCCAACGCGCCCCAGTTGGCACCTGTGCTCCGAAGAACGGGTTCTCCCCTGCCATTTGGGGCGGGGTCCACAGATCCCAACCCACCCAACTGCCAGGTCCCATGTTCAAATCCAGGGTCCCAGGCCTGCTCCCCGCTCTGCGAGTGGCTCAAGTCGCCCCGCCCGGCAGGGAGCGGGCCCCCACCTCTCACCGAGGTTCCTGCGGGCGCCGGGGTGCAACGCTGGAGGGCTGAGGCGACGCGCTGAGGCCGGGAGGCAGGCGGCCCTCCCGGGCTGCAGCTGGCACGGCGGGAGGCACTGCACCCCCGGGGGGCGGCGGCGGGGGCAGCGCCAGCAGCTCTTCCCCCGAGGTCACAGCGCAGTCCTGCTCGGGCTCCGCGCCTCCGCCACCCGCGGTCGTCGCGAGGCCACCGCTGCCACCTCCGCGCTTTTTGTCCTCCTCCTTCTTCCACTTCATGCGGCGATTCTGGAACCAGATCTTGATGTGCCTCTCGGTCAGGTTCAGCATCACCGCCAGCTCCACGCGGCGCGGCCGCGAGATGTACTTGTTGAACAGGAACTCCTTCTCCAGCTCCAGCAGCTGCGCGCGCGTGTAGGCGGTGCGCGTGCGCTTGCTCTCCTCGGGCTCGGCCGCGTAGGCGCTGCCTGTGGGCGACACAGCCGGTGAGTGTGGCCGCGTGACCTCCCGCCCTGTCATGCAACCGGACCCCTTCGACCCCTGCCCAAGGGGCTCAAGGGCTCCAACCTTCCCAGCAGCTCCCAGCGGCCAGCAAAGCCCAGCTGCTCCCTGTTCTCTGACAGCAAAGCTGCACGGGCTCTCAGCGCCAGGGTTTCAAATCAAGTTAAGCCAGCCAGCACTGGGCTCTGTCACTGTTCTTTTTATTTTTATTTTTCTTATTTGAGGCAGGGTCTCATTATGTGGCCTAGGCCGGTCTCGAATTCACCATCTTCCTGCTTCAGCCCTGTAAATGCTAGGATTGCAGGTGCTCACCATGAAGCCCAGCTAAGGAGAGGCTGCTTCCTGGATGCGTCCATTTAACTAGTTTGGGGTTGATGCCCATTAAATCCGTGTAACAACCAGGTGCATGCAAGACCATAATCCCGGTATTCTGGGAGGCTGAGGCAGGGGGATAGCAACTTCTAGCCCAACCCTGGCAACACAGCAACTTAGCAGGACCTCGACTTTAAGGTAAAACAAAACAAAACGAAGAGATGGGGATGCAGCTTAGTGGGAAGGCCCTGGGTTCAACTCCCATACTGGAAGAGGGGAAGGGCATATAATAGATGTTTACACTGACAGCATTCTATGAACGCAGTAGCAAGCCTTCAACAGCGGATTTCAGAGAACAGGAGCGCTCAGAGTGGCCATAGACCAGCAGAGGATTTCAAACAACCTTTCCCAAACTGAGTTGTAGCTAGAAATACATTTCAGACCACTATCCTGTCCATATACAACTGACAGACATTTCGAGGTATACACCCAGCTTTTCCCCTCATATTATGCTATTTTTCAGAGTGTTTTCTATTTTGTTAAAACAATACTGATCTCAAGGCAGCAAATTGGTTTCACAGCCCACTAACGGGTGCCACCTGTATCACACGGGTCCTGACATATTTTGTTTGAAATGACCATATGTTATTTTCGGTCCACACCATTATCGGCCCGGCCCCAGGCCGAGATGTGGTATATTATTCTCTGTAGTCCTGTTAACCACAGTTTGCTGCCTGCTGGTGTAGAAAGGGAAACCAAGGCAGGACACTGTTCACCTTGCGTTCTGTTCCTGTTCCCCAAACCCTGGCAGAGGCAGAGGCAGAGAGAGAGAGAGGACCAGGAGGAGAGGTTAATGGGGTACAAATGAGCGAGCACCGAGGCTCCTGGCTTCTAGCTGCAAGCTGGAGGAGCCTGGAAGCGACAGGGAGGCCAGGCAGGGGTGTGGTGGGATGGGGGAGAGTGGCACCAAGCTTGGCATTTGCTATGGCAACATACTGACTGCACCTGTGCACTGCCACTGTGGCAGGACATGCTTCACAAAGCTCCAGGGGAGGAGGCTTAAACTGCTTTGTCCTTAGTGCAGAGGTAGGAAACACTCCTCCTATGACTGGCGTAAAGCCTTAGGGAGCCCAAAGGCGATTCTTATGATGAGGTGGGTTATTAATATTGCTATGGCACCTGAACGGGTTTCCCCCAGGCCAGGAGGAGGCTCAATCCCTAGTCAGTAAGAGCAAGGGTGGTCCCTGACCAGGAAAGAAGCTGAAGTGGCTCTTAAGTAACACTTTAGAAAGCTGCCTACAATTGTTAAATCCTTCCCACAAGGCTTCAGATCTCCTGCCTTTAGCTTCCTGCAGCTGAGGCCAAGCATGGAGGCTGCTGGTGGGGGGATGTCGAGGGCTGTGGTTCTGGACCATTCTTTAAGGCATGGGCAGAGCCTTTTAGGTGTGTGAGGCAGCCATTCTTGCAGATAGAGACTTTTGGAAGTCTGTGTGGTCTTTAGTATCACCCTGTTACTGTATGTGAGAGCTTAAGGGTCACCTCAAGCATCCTCTGGAGTGGAACCCCACTGGGTACAGGCAGATGGGTTTCCCAACCTAGAAGTTTCCTGGGAGGACCTGGGGCTCAGGGCTCAGCAGCACCCTGCAGGAGGCTCCCAGGAGGAGAGAGGAGGTATGGTGGGTGGAAGGGTCAGCAGAGGCCTCCCCAAACCCCATGGACTTCCAGAGGGAGGAGCAGGCCCCTTAGGTTATCCCTCATCCCCAGGCAAGGCTGTGATTTTCCTTTCAGGAGTTAAAATTGTGCCTCTTGTCTTTTTGGGTCTTCTTGAGTGCAAGTTTCACCCAAGGGTGAAGGAGGAGAGGAAATTACTGAACCTCAGAAATCCTCTCTTAGGGCTTCCAGTTCCTTTTCTGGAGGAAGACCCACTTCAAGAGGGCAAGGTCGAAGATGCCAGAAACTCAATGCCCCAGGGGAAGGCAGTCCAGGAGGGAAGCATCCCTGGCAGGACCTGGGGCTGAGGGACCCTCTTCCTGCCTCCCAAGAATCCTGCATTTCCAGAAACAGGAGGCTCTGAGGCTTTAGACATGGGCTTTAGGGACTAGATAAATATACAGAGGCACTTCAGTGGCTCTGGGGCCCCCATCACTCTGGTTTTGTGGTTTTACAGGTATAGGTAGGTGACCAGGTACCTGCAGGAGCCTGGTTTGGACCCTGTCCTGCCACAGGATTTTTACTCAATGAGAACCTGAGATGAGACCCTGAGAATGGGTGCCTAGAATTTGAGAATTTGGGGGGCATGCCAGCTGGAGCTTCTCCCCCGCTCACCGCCCCATTTCTGTCAGTTAAAGGTCTAGAAAAGGCAATTATTTGCAGTGCAGGTGTGACCAGAAGTGGCTGCTGCACAAAAGCGATAACATTGTGTAGTGGCGGGGCACAGGCCACACCGGAACTCAGAACTCACTGCCAGTTTGGGGCACGGAAGGGACCCAGGGGCTGCTCGGCATCTCTCTGCCTTCTGCTCTGGGGAAGACATGACCCTCTGCCACTAGAACCCAGAGATCCCAGGACTCTCGATTCCCTGAGCTGGCGGCACAGGTAGGACATGTCTTTCTCTGAAAACTTACTTCCTGTGACAAGTGAAGAGACTCCTTTAAACAGTTGTTCAAAAATAAGTTAGTATTTTGGATGCCTTTCCCCAAGCCTGGTTCAGAGGGCAGCTGCCCATCAGCCTCGCTATGAGCTGGAGGGGCCCTCATCTGGGCCCAGCCCCTCCCGGCTCACCTCTAGCCCCTAGCAGGGCTACAGGACTCTCATAGATTTCCTGGATGGATGTGGCTTTTCTTCCTTCTCCTGCCTTTTTGCATCCCCATCCCCATACATACACGGGAAAAGGCCTGTGCTTCTCCAGGGAAGCCAGGCAAAGGAGAGGCCTGCAGCTCGGAAGGCACCCTTTGGCCTGGATCCTCCATGCCCATTATCCGGTTCTAGGCTGCTGGATCCCCAGCTGGAGAAACAGCCCTAAGTGGGCTTTTGGGGCTAAGACAGTTGAGTGCACAGGCAAGGAGAGTTTAAGTTCCCAGGAGGAGTGCTGGGTGGGAAAGATGCTCCAAGTGGAACTGGAAAAGCGCCCCAGAGCTGGAGGATCTTGTTGGCTTTGTGGTATACTTTAGTCTGACCTGGTATTGTCCATGGGATGGGGAACTGGGAGAGGGGCGGCTGAGTCTAGACAGGAAAGGAAGCCGGGAAGGAGAATTACCTGCCCACTGGCCTTTCCACGCGTGCGCTTTGGTGGACTTCATCCATGGGAATGGTAGTTGAATGCGGGTGGGCTCTTCCAGGCCCCCTAGTTCCGTTCCATCCGTGAAGGGCCCGGCAGGCGGGTGGGAGAGCCCCAGCGGAGCAGGGAGGTGGTGGTGTAGGTGCGCCCCGGCAGGTTCGTCGGGGAGGGTGGGCACCTCATACGGGGAGATGTCCGTGGGACTCCCCTGCTCCAGCGCTGCCAGGGTGCCAGGGAACGGGGGCGGCGGTGGCGGCGGTTGGCGGCCCATATACAAACACGCGGGGGGGCTGGCATTGAAGTCTGGCACCGAGCCCCTCTGGAACGCACACGGGTCCTTGTAAAGCTGCGTGGCTGCGTAATACTGCTCCTCGCCATTCATGGTCGCAACCCCAGTCGGGGACCAGGAGCCAGGAGCAGCGAGCTGCAGTCAGGGACTTGGCGCTGAGCTGCGCTCCCACTCCCCGGAGCCCCTGCTCCCTTTGACAGCTCCGCACTGTTCTCAGGGAACCTGTGGCCAGCGGGGACAGGCCAGCCGGCCGCTGCGCCATAGGCTCCGGCTCGCCCCACGTGGCTCAGCCTGAGAACATTATTGGTCTGGCCGGCTGCTTAAGACGGGGGCGCAGGCACCCGCGAGCACCTGCGTTTGTTTCAATTTTCTCTCTCAGCTGCGCACACCTGTATACGCAGCTGGCGTGCTCTCCAGGGGGATTCGGGGGCGGGGGACTCTGAGAACTTCATTTATAGAGCCATTTTCCTCATGGTGTAAACGTTTCTATGTCCCTTTCATCTTCTAAACTTGCATAGTGTTACTTACTTGCTACAATGTATCCATAGGCACGTACTGGGGTTGCATGTGTTGTAACTGTTGGCAAATACAATCAGAAAAGTCTGGAGACCCCAATTGTGTAGGTCAGGAGCAGGCGTCTCTCTCACTTTGGAAATTGGTTGGCAACTGTCTGCGAGGTCAGGAAAGGAACAGGGCAGCCCCACTTTTGCTGTGTGGTTGTGTGTGCCTGTGTGGCCCCCTCCCCCGTACCAATCACAGTGGGTTTTATTTTTTTTAATTGAAGGGCATGTTAACTTTGGTTTTAGGTACTGGGTCCCATCTGGCCAATTCGGAATATACTCTGCCAGCCGTTCTTGTGGTTGAGAGGCAGGCCAGAGGCTGGCCTCAGGTTTCCAGATGCTTACTGATTCCCTTGGGTCTGGTAAGCCTGGCTGGAGTCTGCGGGTGGCAAACTTTCTCTCCCCATCCTCCTGCTTGTTTGAAATAAGAAACAAGGGGGCCTAGGGAAGAGATGCGTTTAGAAAATGAAATAAAAATGCCACATTTGCTCCCTAACTTTTGTGCTTGGCTTCCATCCATTCGGTACCTGGCTGCTATGGGATCCAGGTCTAAACAGGGTCACCTTTTCCGCACTCCTTGGTGAGAGAGGACTACTTCCCGCAGTGCCAGCGCGCCGCGGGGTCCTCCCGAAAGGCCACATTCCTCCAACCACGAGGAATTTTGGAAAAACCGGATACTCTGCAAGAAAAACCTCCGCAAAAGGGCAGGAGCCACAGGCAACCACGGAGAGGGGAGTCGCCGAAGTCGCGGCACATTTGACATCTAGACTCTCTCCAGATTTTAGCGTCTTTTTCCCCTACTGGAAATGTTTGTGTTTTCAATGCAGAACGGATCGCGCTATGCTGTGCCTCGTTTTAATCTTCCTTGAGAGCTGGCTTGAGGCTGGATTGCGGGTGCGCTATGGACGTTTGGGTCAGGCTGGGGAGAGGTGCGCGGGAGTCTGGCGTTGCTGATGACCAGGCCTTCACCGAAGGGGTGATTTCTTAAGGGAAAAAGGCCACCTGTGTTCCCACCAGGCCGTGGGACCCGCATGCCTAACCTCTCCGCGCCCTGGTCAATGCGCCCATTGTTCACGGGCCGCGGAGGAGCCGACGCTATCGCCTGGCCGCGAAGGACCGCATCGATCAGGAGATCAGGACAGGGCCGGAGCGGGCTGCGCCGCCCAAGCGTGTTGACCCTCCGAGATAATCTGCCCGGCGACCCGGTTACGAGCGCACCTCAGCGCCGCTCTGGACAAAGATCGGCCGCCTTCCTGCTCCTCCATCGGCCGCCTTCCTGCTCCTCCTGTTCGCTCGGTTCCTCCCTTTCCCGGCTCCTTCAGCCTGTTCTGCCCTGGGCGCCTGGCTCCCTGCGCCCGCCCGCGCCTGCCCGCCACCCCGGGAGTATTTGCTTTGCACTTCTCCTCTAATTGCACATGTCTGTAAAGTGGGCTCCATTTCAATGCTTCATTTGCTTCCATTTAATATTTTTGCTCGGCCCTGCGGAAAGGAAAGAGGCTTTTAGCAGAAAAGTAAATCTCACTGCGCGCTGGCAAAAATCCCTGAAAACCAAACCAAACCAACAAGCAATAAACCCCACATCAAAGCCGGGTACCGGGCCGAGCAAAGGTGTCGGGGTGGAGGGGAGGGGGGCGCTGAAGGTATTCAGGGGACACGGCTGGCTCTCGCGCTCGGGTGAGCGGTCCTCCTGGCAGCTTTCTACAGGACACTGAGGTCAAACAGCCCTTTCTCCTTCCTCTTTGGCAGCACAAGGCCATCAGGGCTTTGGATTGGCGAATTATCGCGCACAGGCACAGGAAACGCACCCCGCCCCACGCTGCGCTGTCCCGTTGCGGACAGCCCGGGTGTCCTGGACCCCGAGCCCGGTCCAGGGGAAGGGCGTTTCCGCCCCCAGGCCGGCGCGATGCCGGGCCATTAGGCCAGCGCCTGCCCGAGCCATTTAACCGCGCTCTTATGGATAAATAAACACAACGGGCTGTAAACCAATTATAGTGTGGACAGTGAAAAAGTCGTTTATTAGCAGGACACCCTGCTGTACCTCGCCTGCCCGCTCCTCCCTTCCCCGCGCAGAGCCACACTGCGGGTTGCCCGGGACTTGGGAGTGGGAAGGGAACTGTGCGTGATGATAGGCATTTTTAAACCTTCCTTAGGAAGGAGGAAAATGAACCTCACTTAATTCCAAGAATCCCTTTAGGCGGAATTTAGTTTGCTAGAGCATAATATTTAAATAGTAAGCTGGCTATTTAAAAATAAGAATTAGATGACATCCTGAGTTGAAAAACTGTAAAGCAACCACCATGATGCGCTGATGGAGAATACACCTTCCATAACTGGCTTTTTTGAGACAGGGTCTCACCGTGTAGTCCAGGCTGGACTCGAACTCATTCTGTAGGTGGTGCAGTCCAGTAACTCAGGATCCTCCCCTCAGCCTCCCAGAGCCTTAGGATTCCGGGTGTGCATCACCAGTCAGGCTTCGTGGTTGACTTCTAAATTTCATTTCATTTTGGCCATACTGGGATTACTGGCGACTGAACCTAGAACTTCTTGTACGTTCTGCTGCTGGGCTACATCTAGCCTTTTACAGTTTTTGAGTCGCAGTCTAGCTAAGTTGCTCAGGCTGGTCTTCTAACTTATGGCCCTCCTGCCCCGGCCTGCTGTCTCTCCGCACCAGACATAATTGACTTTTACCTTGTGTGCATTCAGTGGGTACTGTTTTTTAAAGAAAAAAACCAGGAAGATTCATTCTTTTCCTTTTGTTACTTTTTGTAAGTCCAGAGTCTAGTGTCCAGGCCTGAGAAGACCTAAAAAAAAGACCTCTCCCTTTGAATGAACAAGGTTTTCCATCAGTTCTTAGTGCACAACAGTTGAGATTGAAATCATTTTCCACATAATTTACTTATGTTTTGAGACAGGGTCTCACTGTGTAGTTCAGGCTGGCCTCACACTCATGGGATCCTTCTGCCTCAGCCTGCCAAGTGCTGGGCATACAGATTGTGTGGCACCATGCCTGTTCATTTTCCACATAATCTTGCATCCCACTTTTGTGTAGATATCTGAGACTAACATCAAGTGTAACTAACTGGACAGTTGTCTGATTCTCTAGCTCACAGTGCTCTGAGAGTGGAGGCTTTGCACACCCTACCACTGTTTGGGAGGGGGTCCCCGGACATCAGTCCCTTCCTCTTTGAGTTTAATTCTTGTCATTCTCAATTTACCCTGCAGCAAAAAGATGTACTAAACAAAAGGTGAGGGGCTAGGGATAGAGCTCAGTAGCACAGCATCCGCCTGGCAAATTGAGGCCACGAATTTGAGACCCAGTACAAAAAAAAGTGGGACCTGAAAGATCTGGTTCCCCTACTGCGTCCCTGTTTTGGACCCCACCCCGCAGGCTCTCAGCTCTAGCTGTTTCATCCAGATGTAAAGTGGCAGAAATCCCAGCCCTTCATGCTCCTTTAGATTTAAATCCTTCACAACCAGCTTTATACATCCACTGAAATTTCCTTCTTTGTCTTGAATCTCTTCTTCCACCGTTTCCTGTGATTAATTTTTTGGTCTCCTGGGAATCTCTCCATATATCCAGGTTCCTGGCAGAGGTCAAAGAAACTTTCCCCCACACTAGGTGGTTTCTCTTAGTTGCCTTCAACCTTCCTATATTTTGCATGATGTATTGGTTTAAGGACTAAGGATTTCACTAGTATTTATTGATCAAACAGAGCTCTTACTATGTGCTTGCTTGCAGTATCTTGTATGTTCTGGCTTTGGTATGGGATGGAAACCCCTTAGGAGCTGCATATGTATGTCTTCCAAATCTAGCTGTGCCATGTACATGCTACGTGTCACTTGGCAAGTTATAAAATGTCACTGCTCCTCTGTGCTTATCTGTGAGATTGAAATAGCACCATTGCCCCAGAAAGTGCATCTATTGTATAACAATCACAGCAAACATGGAACCAGGCACTGTTTCAAGTATTTGACACACACAACAATCCTCACAAAAACTCCGTAAGCTACCTACTCTTGCCCACATTTTGCAGTGGAGGAAACTGAGGCACAGCTGTATTAAATTACTTGCTGAATGGGCCAAGGATTTAGCTAGTGGTGTCAGCACCTGCCTGGCAAACATGAGGTCATGAGTTTGATTCCTGGTACCAGAAAAAAATTTTTAAAATTAAATTACTTACTGAAAGTCATACACCTGGTGAAGTGACAGCCTAAATCCAAGCTGAGGTAACTTCACTTTTAGAATCCATTCTGTTGCCCATCATCTTGCCATAGAGCAGGTACTCAGGCCAAGAAACAGCTTTACTTTTTTTGACGAGAATTAGGTAACCCCAAGTGTCTAATGCTCTTGGCATTTTGTAGGCATTTAATAAAATGTCATCTCTGTCCCTTCCTGTCCTAACACTGCTTTCCATGCACCTACAAGTATTTGGTTATTAGCCGTTACTGTTTGTTACTGCAGACCTGTGTAGATAAGACATTCCCAGACAGGCCAACCTGGAAGGGAATGTTTGGAACAGTGGGAGGAAGTGCAGAGGGAGCACTGTCCCTCAGTGCTTTAGGGAAACACATCCCCAAGCAAGGCTCCACATAAAGCGGGCAGAGGGAGGGGGCTGGAGGACCTCCCTCCGGCCTGCCTGAGCCACAAACAGGTGTGAAGGGTGGGCACAGCCAGGGAAGCTTCAAAGAAAGATTTGAAGAGGTGGGCTGGGGTAGCTCAGTGGATGAGTGC